CTTCTGCAGCTCCGACTTCACAAGGGTCAGTGCCTCAGTGTCAGCCATGGCAAAGACGAGGTCGTCGACGTAGACGAGGACGTAGAACGGCGGCATCGAGGTGTCGGTGCGTAGAAACAGCGACGGGTCAGCAGTAGCAGGAGCAAACCCAAGAGCCGCAAGTGTAGTCCTGAGTGTGTCGTGCCACTCGCGAGGCACCTGGCGGAGACCGTAGACTTGCCGCCGAAGACTCCACTGAGTACCTGCAGGGAAATATTCAGTGAAACCAGGTGGGCGACGCAACCAGATCTCCTCGTGCAGGCTGCCCTGTAGGAACGCTATGCTGAAGTCCAGAGAGTGCAACTCGTAGTCACGCTGAGCAGCAACGTGCAGCAACACCCGAAGAGTAGTCATCTTCGGGGTGGGGGAGAAGGTCTGGAAGTAGTCAACTCCCTGTCGCTGACTGAAGCCTCTAGCAACGTAACGTGCCTTGAAGGCAGGCGGAGAACCCGGCGGCCGCTTCACCCTGAAGATCCACATGCCATCGACTATGTTCGCCCCAGGTGGGGGAACCTCGTCGACGTAGGTGCCTGTGGACTTCTAGGATGCCATCTCGGCATCCATGGCTGCCTGCCACTTAGAGGAGTAAGGACCCGTAATCGCCTCTGCGTAAGAGCGCAGGGTTGGGATGTCTGGAGCATCCGGGTCTCCCTCAGGGGCAAGCAGCATGGAAGCGAAACGAGGTACAGCAGCTGCAAGAGACTCAAAGTCCTCCTGCCTGTCCTCAAGGACGTCCGTGCAACACTCACCCCAGACAGACGGAGGACTGGCAGACGCAAACTCAGCAACTAGAGCAGTGGCGTAGTCTAGATGGCAGGCAGCAGCAAAGTCAAGCGAAGGGTCTGTGACAGCAGTGGCGAGGAGACGAGAGACTGTGGGACCAGCAGCACGAGCGCAATCAGACTCAGGGTCAGGGACCTCAAGAAGAGAGGACACAGGAGGAGCACGAACACGCAGTGGAACAGAGGAAGGACGGAGTGTCATAGCGTGCGTGCCCGGGACAGGAGGAAGACGCGAACGAGGAACATGACGAGCAGTGCGAACATGCGAGACAGGACGAGACGCAGGCTCACGACGCTCTGTAAGACCGCCGGTGTGCTCAGTGTAGGGAGAGGAAGAAGGCAGTGGAGAGGCCGGCTGAAACGGCAGCTGCGACTGGTCAGGCGGTGGACACAGGAGGGGAGGAGTAAGGCCAGTAAATGACGGGACACCAAGAACCTGCTGAAGCAGGGGAACGAAGTACGGTCGCGGCTGCACAGTGTCTCCAGGACCTCCAGCTCCAGGGTCAACAGCTCCAACCCCTATTGCTCCAGCACCTCCAGCTCCAGCGCCACCAGTGCCAGTGCGTCCAGGCTCCGTAGGGGCACCAGCTCCAGCGCCCTCAACACCACCAGCCCCGGCAGGTCCAGTACCCCGAGTACGAGCACCTCTAGGACCAGCGGTCGCAGTACCTCCAGTAACACCAGCTCCAGCAGCAACTCCAGGACCTCCAGCTCCAGCAGCGCCAGCACCCCCAGCTCCAGAAGCTCCACTCCGAAGGCGCGTACGCCGAACAAACCACTCACGCAACTGCTGCGGAGACAGTCTCGGCGAAGCACCAGCAGAACCTCCAGACGAAGCAGCACCCCGAGGCTCCTCACCTCAAGACTCCGCACTCTCCGAAGCAGCACCCCCAGGCTCAACACCCTCAGGCTCACCACCCTCAGGCTCACCACCCCCAGTCGCAACACCCCCAGGCTCAGCACCCCCAGGCTCAACACCCCCAGGATCAGCACCCCCAGTCTCAGCACCCTCAGACTCCGCACCCTCAGGCTCCACAACCCCAGACGCAGAACCTCGTGCAGCACCTAAGTCGACAACTACCTGAACAGGCGCCGTACAAGGGAGAGGGTCTACCTGAGACACACCTGAGGGAGCAGGACCCAGGGGCGGGAGGGGGTCTACCAGAGGGGGACCGGGGGCAAGGAAGAGCGGCGGGGGCGGGGGAGGGGCAGAGCGGTAGGTGAAGAGGCGGTAAAAGGGAACCGACTCGTCAAACGTGACGTCCTGCGAAGGGAAGACATGGCGCGAGGTGGGGTGGTAAAACTACCAGCCAGGCGCGTCGGGGACAAAGCCAAGGAAGATGCAGGGGATAGCACGGGGGGAGGGCTTGTCCGCTGACGTATCGCGAACAAAGGCACGAGAGCCCCAGACCCGGAACACCGACGCATCGCCAACCTCCCCCGTCCAACGCAGTGTGGGCGAGGTCTCCGGCAAGGAGACACGAGGCTAGAGGTTGAGCTGATGCGCAGCGCACCGGACCGCAAACAGCCACAGAAAATGGGGAGCGGCCGCATGGATCATGGAGGTGCGAGCGACCTCCATGACTAAGCCAATGCGGCGCTCAGCAATCCCATTTTGCCGAGGGGAGTCCGGAAGCATGAACGACTGGAGAATGCCTTCCCCACGACAAAAGCCCCGCAAGAGGGTGGAGGAGAACTCACCACCTCTGTCAGAGTGCAGACGCAGGACAGGAAGGTCCTGGCCGAACCGCTCGCGGAGCTGGAGACGGACTGTGCGGATCCAAGGGATCAAGACATCAACGACCTGACCCTTGCTGCGCAAGGGGAAGACCGTGGTGTACCGCGTGTATTCGTCAACGACCAGCAGAAAGTAGCGCTCGCGGCTCTGTCCACTGACGCGGGCTGGGCCCCACAGGTCCATGTGGAGAGTCTGCAGGGGAGCAGACGTCGGGGGAAATGAGGAGGAGTGAGGAGCGGCGCGCTGCCGCCCCTCGACGCAAGGGAGGCAGGGCGGGGCAGGCAAGGACGGCAGGGGAGGCAGAGACCTGGGGAGGCCAGAGACAAGAAGACGAGAGTGCATGCCACGAAGGCGAGGCAGGGAGGGGTGACCCAGACGGTGGTGCCACAGAAGAGTCTGGTGCGACAGGAGGCGACACAAGCAAGAGGGAGCTACCTGACCTGACGCGGACACCTGAGCAGACGCAGCTACCTGAGAAGGCTCGGTAGTGAGTGTGTACAGACTAGACCCTGGCCGACGAGTGAACGTGGCCAGGTGACGCCCCGTCCGTGTGCACGTGCAGATCAACACACGCTGACCCCCAGGAGTGGTAGTAGTGACCATCGCATCGTGGAGGGCAGCGGTACTCACCAAGTTCGTATAGAACGAGGGGAGGTGAAGACCTGACAGTGAGCCGGACGGAACCGCCGGACACGGGAGGACAGTAGAGGAACGGGCCACGACCGGTCCCCCAGAGGGGTCAGCCAGTCTAACCAGGACAGTTGCAGGAAGAGGAGTGCGAGTGGTGCTGTCACGAATGAAACAGCGCGAGGCGCCGGAGTCCAACGTGAAAGTGTGCAAGGCCTCACCAGGCGTAGTAGCAGGGAGAGTACTAGACTCACTAGCAACTAGAGCAGCAGCGGCTATACCTGGGTCAGGCGGCACATACCGGTAACAGTCACCCTCAGCACTAATAGACAAAGCATACATAGCAGAGAGAATAGCATCAAAGTCTAGGTCAAAGATAGCAATCCTAGACTTAAGTAGATCTGCCCAGCGAGGGATCTCGGCGTCGTCACCAAACTCAGCACGCCAAGCGTCGTCAAGGCGGGAGAAGCAGCGGTGCTGAGTGTGGAGCCGCCCGCAAGTCTGGCCAGCACGGTCACATGTGCGAATGACATACGGGCAACTACCCCCAGACGCCCCACGCAGAAACCACTGACGAAGCTGCTAGGGAGATGGGGTCTCACTCCGACGCTGCTGCTGCTGTTGCTGGCCACCCCCAAAACCAACACGCCGAGTGCCAGTCCCACCGCTACCAGTCCCACCGCCTCCACTGCCGCCACTCCCACCGCTGCCCCCACCATGCCACCAGAGCCCCCACTCCCGCAAACAGTCCCACCGCCGCCACCACCTCCACTGCCTCCACCACCTCCACCGCTGCCCCCACCACCACTCCCGCTGCCACCTCCACCACCACCGCTGCCACCTCCACCACCCTTACCAACCTTGCCCTTGCTGCTGCGGCGCTTTGCACGAGTAGAAGCAGACCCGACGTCCTCAGCAACAGAGACATCTGCAGCAGTAGCAGAGGCGTAGGAGGGGGCAATGTTGGTGCAACCCTACGGTTTGCACTCGGCTTGTTGTCCGTGTGCGTGAATGTGTGTGTGTATGGAATGGTATGAGGGCATGGGATAATATATATTTCATGCTTATAATTGTGTGTGAATGTTGAGTCATGATGTCGAGTGTGTGTGTCGAGTCAATAGCGAGTTATCGCTAGACGCGTGTTACGCGGTCGTTTGTGTCTCGCGCGCGGTTTCTATTTTGTCGTGCGCGGTTTCTATTTTGTCCTGTGTCGAACGTTCGGCGTGTCGCAGGTGTGTGCAGCAGACCCATCAAGAACTCAAGGATGAGTTTGTGATGAAGAGCCCGAGCCTTGGTGTCAAGCCTCAAGTGATTTCGAAGCTCGCCAAAAGGGTACACCTCAAGATATTGAAGATAGTTACATTACTTTGTGTAGTGTAACATTTCACTTGGTGTAGGCCCTAGTGAAGGGTAGTTTCGAGACCCTTCGTGGTTGGGGACAGTGTGGCACTGTTCCACATCACTGTACCTCGGCTCTTGGGGTTTGTAGGAGCTGGGAGTCATTCCCAACTCGTAACTCTTCCTATCTTGTGTTCTAAGACTATAGTGGCTGCCAAAGTACCGTTCGTTCAAACCGACGCTGTGTCGTCAATTCTTTATCAAATCGTGCAATCTAAATTGCTAATTATAGACAACGTGAAGACGCTCCAGATCCAAGTTGAATCAAGTCATTTGCAGCTGTGAGCAGAACGCTATCATCGTTTGAAGCCGCTGTGCAGAAATCCGTCTGTGCTCTCTATCTTTCGTTTTAGGCACATTCAAGCCTATTGTGACTATAACAAGTGGTATCAGAGCCCCTTGGAGCAGTTTCGACAATGTCTGGACCTGAGGAAAGGGGTGGCAGAGGTGCTGGTGGCAGTGGAGAAGCTCAAGCTCAAGGCCAACCCCGTGATTCAGCCATGGCGCCCATGCAACCAAGTCTTGGCCCACCTAGGGATGAGCCTAGGGTGTTTGGGCTTGACAAGTTCAACGGTGACAACTTTGCTGAATGGTCCTTCAAGATGGAGAACATCTTTGACCACTATGACCTGCTGGAGGTGATGGAAGGAACGGAGAAGCGCCCCGAGAACGACCCGGAGAAGAGCCCGTGGGTGCGGAAGAGCGCACAAGGCTATCTCTTACTTGGGCAAGCGTTGGGGAGCAGTCAGATCCGTCACATCAAGCCATTCCAGCATGAACCAGAGAAGGGACCAAAGGCATGGGCTGCTCTCAAGGGTGTACATGCTCCTGCAACAGCGGCGGTAGCGGTGGTGTTGGAACGGCAAATGGCGGCACTACGAATTGAAGAAGACGAAGCGGTTGAAGAAGGGGTGCAGAAATTCTTCGACTTGTTGACGCGGCTTGAGGGAGCTGATTTGAACTACAGTGAGCTCCAAAAGAAGACCAAGTTGCTGGCCTTACTCCCAGAGTCATGGTCCTCGCTCATCATCAACCTTAATCGCGACTTGCCCCGCCTCTCGCTTGAAGACGTGAAGCGAGCTATCCTTCAAGAGGATTTCCGCCGCCGTGAGTTGGCGAGTGCGGATGGCGCTGGGGCAGCGAGCATCGGCCGTGGATATGGTCGAGGAAGAGGCAGAGGACGAGGGGAAGGAAGGTTTGGTGGCAGCAACTTCGGCGGAGGCCGCAGGAGTGGCGGTTACGGCAGCGACGACAAGAGCTACGGACGCGGTCGCGGCCGATTCGACGGCGAGTGTCACTATTGCCACAAGAGCGGACACATGTGGCGCGACTGCTACAAACTCCCTGATGGTTGGACCCCTGCTCAAGGCCAAGAGGGTAGAGGAGCAGGAGGAGGGAGAGGACGAGGCCGTGGAGGCCGTGGCGGTCGCGGTGGCGGAGCTGCAAACATGAAGAGCGGAGACAACGACAAGGACCCGAGCGACGATCGATACCCGGGTCTATTCTACTCCGTGTCGACGCAAGTACCGGCTGGTCCAGAGAAGGATGAAGGCTTTAAGGAGCCAGCAGCTGTGGGGAAGGTGACCCTACACCCCCTGGACTATTGGGTGATTGATAGTGGCGCTACCTATAGCATGACACCTCGCCCGGACTTGCTCACCGAACTCGAGCCGTCACCGGTGAAGCATGTCACATCGGCTTTGGGGCAGCGAGCAGAGGTGAAAGGCATGGGCAAGGCCATGTTCAAGGGTGCTGATGGGAAGATGGTGGGCCTCAAGAACGTGCTTTGGGTGCCCAGCCTTGCTGGCAAAGGCCGGCATGGACACGAACTCGAAGGGAGCCAAGACCTACACCGCAAGGCTTGGCGATCGAATTCTTTGGGACCTTCATGAGGACAGGGATGTCTACAACGAGATGTGGCAGATCCCAGTGGTCCCTATGCCTAAGGAGAGGCAAGTGGCAGCAAGCATCAGCACCAAGGATGGAGCGGTCGGTAGCGACGATGGCGCGAACGGTCGCGCTAAGGAGAATGAGCTCAAGAAGAGCAAACCTGGAGGGACCATCAATTTCAGTGAACCTAAGGAGAGTGGTGCAGCAACCAAGGAGCAGCAAAAGGGTGAGGAGAACCCAGAGGCAGCAGCGGAGGAGGACTACGGAGAGAGTATGTGGGGCGCTATTGCGAGCGCGGCATTCTCCAATCCAACTTCGGCTACGGGGGAGTGTGATTGGCTCACCTTGCATCGGTGCATGGGGCATGTGGCCCTGCCCATCTTGCAGCAGCTAGTGAAGAATGAGATGGTTGCTGGCATACGTGTGAAGGGGGAGCCCGATGAGGTGCTTGGCTGCCCGACGTGCATTCAAGCCAAGTTCACCCGGTTTCCGTTCCCTAGTTCGGAGGCAACGGCAAAGGCACCGCTTGATGAGGTGGTGATGGACGTGGTGGGCCCCCTGAAGCTTGGAGCTGCTGGAGCTGAGTATTTTCTCACCATTGTCGACGTCTACACCCGCATGACTTGGGTGTACGTGCTGGCCAAGAAGAGCGACGTGGCTGAAACGTTGAAGACGGATTGGTTCCCGATGGTGGAGCGGCAACAAGACCGTCTAGTCAAGTCAATCCGCACCGATCGAGGGGGAGAGTTCCTGAGCAAAGAGTTTGGGTTGTGGCTGAAGAAGAATGGTATTCGGCACTCCCTCACCATGCCATACTCCCCTGCAATGAACGGCATCGCCGAGCGAGCGAACCGCACAATCACGGAGGCGGCACGCGGGTTGCTCATTGAAGCCGGGCTACCCGACTATTTCTGGCCTGATGCGGTGCGGAGCGCGTGTGTGGCCAAGAACAGAGCCTTGACTCATGTGGGAGCAGACAAATGGGTGCCCTATGTGGAGTGGCCAGGAAGGAAGCCAAAGGTGGATATGCTTCGGGTGTTCGGGTGCATGTGCATGGCGCTCGTACCTAAGCATCTTCGGCACAACAAGCTTGGTGCCAAGGCGGTGTGGGCCGTGCACTTGGGCATGGCTCAAAACAGCAAGGGATGGCTTCTTTGGGACCCATTCACCAAGAAGTTCTTGGTGAGCAGGGACTGCAAGTTCATGGAGAACTTCATGTACAAGGATTGGAAGGCGGAGAATGAGGCGAAGATAGGCGTGCGGTTTGGGGAGGTGAAGAGTTCCGGTTTGGAGCATGTGGAGCTGCCTTTGGAGCTGAGCAGCGGCAGCACAACCACAAGGCAATCCTCCCTTGTGAATGGGGGAGAGGAGGCCAATGATGCAGAGGAAGAAGAGGAGGAGGTGCAGCAAGTGAGCGAGCGTGCACCGTCACTCCCTTCCCGTACTACGAGTGCTCCACGGATTCGAGCCACACCGCAGCAACGCCAAGGCCTTCAAGTCCCTGCAGCTGAGGAGGAAGGAAGGGGGAAGAGGAGAGTTCAGCCCCCTAATAGGCTGACCTATGATGCGCCGGGAAAGCAGGGCAAGACAGCCCTGGCCGGAGCGGCAATGATGGTCGGAGACGACGAGGAGAGTGACTACGAGGAGTGTGCCTTCGCGTTCTTCTCTCCGGTGGAGATGCCGGGAGAACCAGCAACTCTCAAGGAGGCTTTGGAGAGTAGTGATGCTGAGGAGTGGAAGAAGGCCATGGAGAGTGAGCTGAAGAGCATCGAGGAGAATGACACGTTTGAATTGGTGGAGCTACCGGAGGGGCGTACGGCGATAACGTCCAAGTGGCTCTTCAAAATCAAGTCGGATGCCGACGGCAAGATCGAGCGCTACAAGTCTAGGCTTGTAGCCAAGGGGTACCAGAAGAAGGAGAAGGTGGACTTCAAGGAGCTGTTTTCCCCTGTGGTGAAGCCGACGACGCTGCGAACCCTATTCGCGGGAGCCGCCATCAAAGGATGGGTAGTAAAGCAAATGGACATCGTAACGGCATTCCTTAACGGCATCCTTGAGGAGGAGATTTTTATGGCGCAGCCAGAGGGGTTTGATGATGGTAGTGGCAGAGTGTGGAAGCTGAAGAAGGCCCTCTATGGGCTGAAGCAGGCCCCTAGGCAATGGTACATGAAGCTGCGCGAAGTGTTGGAGGGGATCGGCTTCACTCCCTCAACGGCCGATCACTCCTTGTTCATGCTTGGCGAGGGGGAGCAGAGGAGTTTCATGGTGGTTTATGTGGATGACATCCTCATTTTCTCACCCTCTTCTGACCTTGTGAAGGAGGTGATGCTGAAGCTTCAAGACAAGTTCAAGTGCAAGGCCCTTGGTGACGTGAGCTTCTACCTTGGGCTCCACATCGAACGAGATGTGGAGAAGCGGTGCATGCGGGTGCATCAACGAAAGTACCTGGAGGCATTGGCTGCCAACTTTGGGCAGAGTGAAGGCCATGTGGCTACACCCTTTCCCTCTGGGTTCAAGTGTGTGAAGGGACCAGAGGAGGAGAGCGTTGGTGAAGAGGAGAGGCGCCGATTTCACTCGTTGGTGGGCAGCCTCATGTATGCGGCGGTAAACACCCGACCGGACGTCGCGTTTGCTACCGGGAAGCTGGCTAGGGTTGTGCAATGCCCTAATGAGGAGCAGGTAGCAGCTGGAATGAGGGTGGCCAAGTATCTTGGCCAAACACCGACCGTTGGGCTGCAATACTCGGCGGCGGCACAAAGGCGCCAAAAGGGCGCGGATGGTGTTGAACCCGGGCGTTTGTTCCTCACCGCCTACTCGGATGCTTCATATGCATCAGAACCAGAGGACATGACAAGTGTGGGAGGCTTCATATGCTGTGTTGGTGGAGGCCCAACTGCTTGGGAGAGCAAGAAGCAGGTTGACCAAGCTTTGAGCTCGGTGGAGTCCGAGTACATGGCACTCTTCCGTGCCGTACGGGAGATTGTGTGGCAGCGGCGTTTGTTGGCTGAATTGGGGGAGGAGCAGCAAGGACCTACCCCACTGTACTGTGACAGCCAGGGTGCCATTTCTCTTGCTAAGAACCCTGTGTTGCATGGACTCACGAAGCACATGAGGGTGAAGTGGCATTGGACGAGGAGCATGGTAACCGCGGGTGAAGTTGAGTTGCGCTACGTGAAGACCACGGGGCAGCCGGCTGACATGATGACCAAGAGGCTGGTGGAGCAGCAGCATTGGAAGTGTTGCAAGCTGGCTGGGATGGCTCTGAACTGAGAGAGCAACATATCCTAAGGCCAACAATCCGATGGGGAGTTTGTTGGTGCAACCCTACGGTTTGCACTCGGCTTGTTGTCCGTGTGCGTGAATGTGTGTGTGTATGGAATGGTATGAGGGCATGGGATAATATATATTTCATGCTTATAATTGTGTGTGAATGTTGAGTCATGATGTCGAGTGTGTGTGTCGAGTCAATAGCGAGTTATCGCTAGACGCGTGTTACGCGGTCGTTTGTGTCTCGCGCGCGGTTTCTATTTTGCCGTGCGCGGTTTCTATTTTGTCCTGTGTCGAACGTTCGGCGTGTCGCAGGTGTGTGCAGCAGACCCATCAAGAACTCAAGGATGAGTTTGTGATGAAGAGCCCGAGCCTTGGTGTCAAGCCTCAAGTGATTTCGAAGCTCGCCAAAAGGGTACACCTCAAGATATTGAAGATAGTTACATTACTTTGTGTAGTGTAACATTTCACTTGGTGTAGGCCCTAGTGAAGGGTAGTTTCGAGACCCTTCGTGGTTGGGGACAGTGTGGCACTGTTCCACATCACTGTACCTCGGCTCTTGGGGTTTGTAGGAGCTGGGAGTCATTCCCAACTCGTAACTCTTCCTATCTTGTGTTCTAAGACTATAGTGGCTGCCAAAGTACCGTTCGTTCAAACCGACGCTGTGTCGTCAATTCTTTATCAAATCGTGCAATCTAAATTGCTAATTATAGACGACGTGAAGACGCTCCAGATCCAATTTGAATCAAGTCATTTGCAGCTGTGAGCAGAACGCTATCATCGTTTGAATCCGCTGTGCAGAAATCCGTCTGTGCTCTCTATCTTTCGTTTTAGGCACATTCAAGCCTATTGTGACTATAACAGGCAAGGGGGGAGGGGGAGCACCCCTCAAAGAAGGGCGGGCGCGAAGTGCCACGAGCAGCACCTACAGCAACTGCACTAGTCTCAGCTGCAAGGAGATGCTGCTTGAGGAGGTCAACAGTGAGGGAGGTGGGGTCAAGGTAGAGAAAGTGGTCTCTGACAAAGCGAAGAGAGTCAGGGAGGCGAGTGACTATGAAGTAGAGGGTGATGAACATCGGGGGCTGGTTCCTGTCCAGGAACTCAGCGGGGGCAATAGCGCGGTAGCGAGCGTCGCTAGCGCGAAGGTGGGAAATGAGGTCTCCGACTGTGGCAAAGGCGGACAGCCCGGGGAACAGGTAGGGCAGATGCAGGCGGCCTAGAGCAGCAGTGGCAGGGGAGGAGTAGCGAGCGACTACAGCGTCGTACAGTGCCTACGCTGTCCTGTGCTGTCCGAAGTGAGCACATTCAGTTAATGGCAGGTGGTTGCGAATGGCTAAGCGGGCAGCAGCGTCACGAGTAAGCCACTGTGAGCGAGTCGAACTGTCAGCTGTGGTGGGAGGGGCAGGAGCAGCGCCTGACACTAGGTCAAACAGCGAGACACTGTCCTTAGAATCGCTCAGTAGGTACAGTTGCAGGTCGTCTAGCCACGTGTCAAACTGAACCGGTCTGCCCTCATGATCAAACGCGAGAACCCGAAGCGAAGCCATTGCTGTGCAGCACGTAGGATAGCAGTAGCAGCAGCAGTAGCAGCTGTAGCAGGAGCAGCAGTACCAGCAGTAGCAGCAGTAGCAGCAGTAGCAGCAGTAGCAGCAGTAGCAGCAGTAGCAGCTGTAGCAGTAGCAGCAGTGACAGTGGGGCAAGGGGCCGACGGGGCCGGGCGTGGGCTAGGGACGGGGCCGGGCGCGGGCTAGGTACGGGGCCGGGCGCGGGCAGGGGACGGCTCTGGGCGCGGGGCTAGGTACGGGGCCGGGCGCGGGCTAGGGACGGGGCCGGGCGCTGGGCTAGGGACGGGGCCGGGCGCGGGTTAGGTACAGGGCCGGGCGCGAGCTAGGTACGGGGCCGGGCGCTGGGCTAGGGACGGGACCGAGCGCGGGCTAGGTACGGGGCCGGGCGTTGGGCTAGGGACTGGGCCGGGCGCTAGGAAGGTACGGGGCCAGGCGCTGGGCACGGAACTGGGGCCGGGCGCGGGGCTAGGGACGGGGCCGGGCGCAGGCTAGGTACGAGGCCGGGCGCGGGCGAGGTACTGGGCTGGGCATTGGGCTAGGAACGGGGCCGGGCGCGGGCGTCAATGGGCGCAGGCTAGGTACGGGGCCGGGCGCTGGGCTAGGGACGGGGCCGGGCGCGGGTTAGGTACGGGGCCGGGCGCGAGCTAGGGACGGGGCCGGGCGCGGGGCTAGGTACGGGGCCTGTCGCGGGCTAGGGACGGGGCCGGGCGCGGGCTAGGTACGGGGCCGGGCACGGGTGTCGACGGGGCGCGGGCTAGGGACGGGGCCGGGCGCGGGTTAGGTACGGGGCCGGGCACGGGCGAGGTACGGGGCCAGGCGCTGGGCTAGGAACGGGGCCGGGCGCGGGCTAGGTACGGGGCCGGGCGCGGGTGTCAACGGGGCGCGGGCTAGGGACGGGGCCGGGCGCGGGCTAGGTACGGGGCCGGGCGCGGGCGAGGTACGGGGCCGGGCGCTGGGCTAGGAACGGGGCCGGGCGCGGGCTAGGTACGGGGCCGGGCGCGGGTGTCGACAGGCTGTGGGCTAGGAACGGGGCCGGGCGCGGGGGTCGACGGGCCGCGGGCTAGGAACGGGGCCGGGCGCTAGGGTCGACGGGCCGTGTAGGCTAGGAACGACGGGCCGGGCGCGCGTAGGCTAGGGTCGACGGGCCGGGCGTTTAGGCTAGGGTCGACGGGCCTAGGGGCGACGGGCCTAGGTGGTAGTACTAGCAGCGTAGCAGGTGGTGGGCCCAAGGAACCTGCTCTGATTCGATTTCAAAGTAACGAACGAGAATGAATGAACTATGAAACAGTTGGGTACAAGTACTAACCCTAATTTGGTTGTACCCCTTATGGGCTACCCCACTATAGCCTACACAAATGTATAAGCTATAATGTTCTGACACTATTCTGCCCACTTTTCAAAGCTTTGCCTTCTGGTGTGGGTAAAGGATAATAAAGACACCCGTTTGAGCTAAAACAAAAAGAGTGGAGCACGGGCATCATTGCTGAGGCACACAAACTTGGGCGAAAATTGCATGCGAGTTACTTGGAATGAAATTGCCGCTGGGTTGGGTTCGTAAACACATTTTTTCGCCTGAACTCAAACTGATTGACTTCACAAGGCTCTTTGGATCGTGTTTCTGTCACAGGTCTCGGCGGAAGCTACCTATTCTTTGGTCCAGCTATAAATAATCACGTTCCCTCAAAGCGTGGCGCCTCCGTCCCTCCAATTGGCACGCAGTTTACCCATCATGGATTACCCTCACCCTTCATTCCTGTATATAACAGTCTTCTTCGTTGCTGGTAAAGCGCGACTTGAATCAACTCTCCAAGTTTAATTCGGCTAGATCACGAGAACTACCAGGACTACTACTATTACTACCTCTTCCCCTGCTAATGGCTCGTCTCAGCGGAATTACGGCGCTATATCTACTGCTAGTTGTTGCCCTTGTTCTATCGACATATTCTTCGAAAGCAGTTGCCCAGAATCTGGAGCAAACGTCGAATCAGGGCCCTAGATATCAGACATTTTAGTTCGATTCAGATTTCGTTCAGGCTTTTTTTTTGTACCTAGTCATAACTCAAATTTTTTCTCTATGTACCTTGTCTGGGTTTTCAGAGTTTTTTTTTTAATGTATAGGCTGAAATTTCAGCCTAATTTTATGAGTGTAGGCTGAGCCCTCAGCCTTGTATTGGGGGTGCACTTTGAAACCGGTAATACAGGGGTTTCCGCTAGCCTGACGGCGTGTAGCACTAACACCGTCAATCAAGGGCGGGAAACCAAAATTTCCCGAGTGCGGCACCACACAGTCGCGTTGGTACAGGAATATTGTAATCAAGTTCAATTCCAACCAGTCACGGCTGCGAGCAGGCAGTGTTGGCAAAGTAATCAGCCTAAAATTGTGTGTAACGCTGAACGTTCAGCCTAAAAAACATACTGTTGTCTGAATTTTCAGCTTGAAAATTGGAGGCAACTCTGGCTTACAGAGTTTAGAGAGGGGTGCACGCTAATCGATCAGTGTGTCCCTAAACAAATCTAGGGGCCTTCGTCGGATGGTAAGTTTCCCCTTCGTCCTTTCTCCCATCAAATGGCATCGGTACTCTTCCGCTTGACGACGTTGGTGCCGATAACTCACCAAGAATATTTCGTTTTACTTCAGCAGCAGTGCTAGCTAGTAGGGGTGTGTTGTTGCTGCTGACTCAAATCACTACCCTGAATTCCGTCGTCCTTTCGAGCATCGCAAAAAAGGAAAGTTGTGGTTTTTTTGCCTCCGAAGGGTTTTCTGCGTAAACCTTGCGTAAAATTTGCAAAAATTTGCGAAAAAACAACGCACGAAATCGCAACATTCTGTACACCAGTTCCGAAGGGGCACACCGATGCCAAAATGTCACGGCAAAGTTGCTTTCCCGTTAACATTTTTGGGTCAGACAGTGTCGCGTGGTTGAGAGAGGTTACAGGCGGTTACGCAGACTAACAATGACAGTGTTATGTAACTACGAAATTAACGAACCAGAACGACCCCACGAATTTCTCACGAATTCCAGCGAGGTTGTAAAAGTGGATACATTGCTTTCGTTAATTTCCGCAAATCTAAAACCTAACCCACAGACGCGTGGTGGTTTCTTCAGGGGTGTGATGTGTAAGCCACAAAATCCTTTTGTACCAATCACTCTTGGTTCTGTGAATAGTCAATCAATCTGCACCCGCCGTTTTGTCAGAATCTAAAGGACGGAATGAATGAACTAGCAAGCAAGTGGGTACAAGTAGGAAACCTAAAAGTGTTGTACCCTATATGAACTACCCAACTACAGCCTAAACAGACTATAGCATATAAGTTTGACACACCCCCATAGGCAAAGTGGGGGAGAACAAGAGGTCACAAGACCAGTCAAGAAAGGCAAAAAAAGCTTAGGGTGGATCACAAAGTCACCACACATTCTGAGCACAAGCAAATGGCCA